AGAAAGATCAGAAGATACTCCAAACTAAACATGCAGCATATATATAGAGTAACACATTAAATTTTTACCGAGAAATCCATTGAGTTCATATCCATATCGCCAGGACCTAAAAAACATATGAAGCAGTAACAAAGTTAGTTTCTGCATGTGTTATAACAACTATGGTAAGAGATTGTCAGAACATGATAGAGATGATACCAGCATCAGCTTCATCATCTTCATCCACCCACTTATCCCAATCTACTTTCACATAGTGTGGTGCTTTCGCATCTCCACGCAATAATTTGTTCCACCATTTTGGCTCTGCCTTTTGCAAAACGCAGACTATACTTCTCACGCCAATACTAATTTTGCTCTCCTTCAGAATGAAATTGCAAATTAGAATGCAATTCTAAGTACCGGGGATAGACAAGTATAGCAATTAAATCAAAGGCAGGTTAAAATTTGTGTCTTCAGTAACTCAGTTCCTCTTCACCACTAGATACTATATTACGATAGCTAAACCACACAAACTGCCACCATCTTGTCACTATTTTATGATTGCTAAATCACATAAACTGACATCCCCTTGTTATATCTTATCATAACTAAATTATAAAATTAGCCTTTCTGATTGATTCAATTACTCTAGTGATTTGCCTTTTATAAGCATGATTTACAGCATTTCTGTCACGCTAGCTCTATCTAACCTGTCCCTATTGGACACATATATGAGTAACTAGAAAATCCAAATCAATCTAATGACGTAACCAAATCAAACAAATGCCTCCTACCTCAACATTAACTTTATCCTGGAGCTCAAGCTTCAGCTCATAGTGACGATCTCCTGCCCCAGCAGTAGCACTGAAGGTAAAAATTCCTTCTGGATCCAGGTTTACTTTCGGATCTTTAGCATCTGGTAATAGCACTGTGAGATACACCACATCAGGTCTCTGGGCCCACTTGACTTGGGGATGGAGGCTGCCAACCAAAAAAAAAATATGAATGAAGGGTTTTGTGCATATTAGAAGAGTCATAATATATTCACATATAGGGGATAACAAAAGAAATTATCTAAGCAGCCAAAACTTTTTGGCATCACCAAACTCACTTACATACTAAAATAGGAATCTGTTCTATCATTTTAATGTTTGGATAGAGAAGAAAATATATTACTCTAACTAGCTACTAAGCAAAGGAAACTTGATCACTGAAAACTATTTAACATAGTCTATCTCAGTAAGTGTAGTGTATAAGTTTCTCATGAGTCATGACTAGGGGCGGATGTAGTGTTAGAGTTATGGTTTCATCCAAACTATAGTAGCTTTAGCTCAAACACTGTAAGTGAGAATGTGAATCTTCTTCTAAGCCACAAGCACGTCCGAGTGAATCAGACTAATTCTAAATCAGCAGGGTATTATTTTATTACTGATACCACTTCGCAGCGCTCTTTAAGAGTAAAATATTTATTTCTTCCTTTTTCTTCTGGGATACAGGTGAAAGAAGGATTAACTTCTTTTTCTTTTTTTTCATCATAAGTAACATTTTTTAAAATTAAATAATACTGCTTATGTAGGAAAAAAATTAAGCATAAACCACAAGAAACGAAGACTTCCATATCTGCAGCTGCCATTACTAGCAGGGGCGGATGTAGTGTCCAATTGACGGATTCAATTGAAACCATAACTATAAACGCGGAGTAAAAATTTATGTGTAAAAAATTATTAAAATTATATAAATAGTAGATATGAACCAATAACTTTAAACATATAATTCGTTCAATGCTGAAAACTTTAAAAGTTGAACACATAAAATTTAATTCCTGGAGCCGCCTCTGATTACTAGTATTACATTCACGAGATATAAGAGTTCCCAGTCCAAACAACAAATTAAAGTAAAAAAGATATTATAATTGTTAAAGCAGCAAAAAGAAGAAGAAAACCCCAAATTCTAGAACCGAAGACATTAAAGTACAGATATGAATCAATAATCTCGTAAACAAATAAGGTAATAAGCTGAGATCTTAAAAAAGTAAAGAAAAATGGTAGAATACAGTAGGAATCGTAATGGAAAATGAAGAGATAAATTACCTCATATTTGAATTCTGTGTCTCGGCTGAGGCGATGAGAAAGGTAAAAAGAAAGAGAGACTCTGAAAAACCCTAAAAACAAAGTGAAGCGGCACAGCTGCAAATACCACACTTAACTACTTAAGTGGTAGTTCAAGGCGTGAGCTCACTTCCCAAAGTCTTTCCAATTATCTTGATTTCTTTTAATATCAAATGATTCCTCAAGTTTTAGGGTAGGTTTATTTTTCTCATATTCTATTATCTTGTGAGCATATGTTTTTTCAAAAATTTATTTTTCTGATTTAAGTTTTCATCAATTTACCACTTCTAGTTACTTTTTCAAATAGCACTTTTAATTCAACTGACCAAACATTTAAATGGACCATTAACTAATAGAACTATCACGTGTTTTTTATGTTGCTAAAATAGATTTTCTTTCTCAATATTTTTATTTCTCCAATTTCAGCATTACAAGTAATATTAGTACACCACAAGTAATAAAAGTAAAAATAAGAGAATTTATGCAAAATAAAATAGTTTAGAAAAAAAATAGTCCATCAATAACGAAAATAAACCACGATAGTTGAGGCCCGCAATTCTTCGTTATGAGGCCTGCAATTCTTCCATGACGGGCCTCATTCTCCCTCTATATTATGGCCCAAAAGATAGTTGACAGTGTGGCCATTTAGCCCATGTAGCCCGTTCTAATTTGCCGCATTGAAATTTTGTTGGGCAAGTTACATTTGACAATAAGGAATTTTCATAAACCACTACGACTTAAAGTTTAATAACTATAATTTATCTAATTACCATTTGTAGTTATTGTTCAATTGTTACTAACTTGTATCACTTGTATTCAAATGCGCAACGAATACAACATGTGTCAATTGTATTCAAACGTGCAACGAATGGTAAATTTACTGAAATAGCTATGAATGGTAAATACAGTGTAAATATTTGATGTGTCGCGTAATTCTCCCTATTGACAATTGTGTTTCCTTTATTTGGTTAGAAAATCAATTAAATAGAATTAAGAAAAAAATTAATCAAATAGCATGAGAGATTGAAAGAAAAGAGAAAAGGCCTGGGACACACGTTGAACCACAATATCACTAATTCGTGAGTTTTTAGTTAAGATGTATGTATAACTAATTCAACCGATTTTTCTACTCAGATTCGTGAGATTGCATTTTAGTGCTACTCAGAAAACATTCACTTTTTCTCCTTGAATATTTTAAATGCTCAAATTACAGAAGTATTTTCTCCAGTTAGATTTTTGAGTGACTTTAGATGTTGACAAACAGAGATTTCCATACATGTTTCCCTTGGAAATTCTAAATATCATTTGCATTTGGCTTCTCTTTCTTTCCTGTAGATATCTTTGCTTTCACGCAAAGATGAAATCTTGATATTCCCTTTTTAACTTTCAAGATTTGTAGGCCATGTTAGTATCTTTTATTCAATAGAGAACAATTATTCCGTCCTAAGGTTGTACTTCTATGTTTTTTTTAATGTTTTGTTTGTGTGTTTGCCTTAATTATGACCTTCATTTGTAGAACAGAAAAAAGTATTCCGCAGTCCTAAAGTTGTGCTCCATGTTTGAAAATTCAGGATACTAAAGAGAATAATATTGAATCATTGAATGTGACGCATGATAATTATTATAGTGCAATGATTTTCCAATATTCCCCTCTATATAAATAATACTAACAGTCCCGAATCTTTGTATTCTTGCATTTAGCTTTTTTTAAAAGAGCGGATCAATGTTTGCAACATCAATAAGCACCCTCTATATTGTACAATAGATTAGTTAGAACGTCGGAGATATCCTTTATTAAGGAGCATCGAAAAAAGGAGCCAAGATTTTAAGTTTTGTGAGCTTGAAATTTAAATTGTTTTAAGTTACTGGGTTTGACAGCACCGCAGGTGGTATATAGCGTGAATTACATCCTATTTAAACGCGTAAGAAGAAACTTTTCAGATGATATATGTTTAGTAATGGTAACATTTGTGAAGTAACGATAATTCTTTATATCTCTCTATTTAAACCCTAATTCCTTTCCCTATTGTAAAAAATTTAATTTTTTTGCTCCAACACTTCTCATTCTCTTCTTTTCTTCTCTTTTTTCTCTCATTTCTGTTGTAGCCGGGTTCATTTAAGTGAAGGTTGAAACTTAGTTAATATCCATTAATGTCGAATTTATCGGAATCAACGAACTTGTTAATGTGACCTTGCGCTGCTGCTCGAATTTGTAAGTGTGGTATTTCTCCAAAATTGAATACTTCATGGACCCAACTAAACCCATGTCGTAGGTTTTTTACTTGCAAAATCGAAAAGATAAATTTTTTGTTCTTAATTGTACCCTGTTTTATTAATTATTTTCTTTGATGATAATTGATCAAATGTGTTTGTTATTTTTGTAGAAAAAGGGTGGATGTGATTATTTCTGTTGGTATGATGATGAGATGCCTACTCAAGCAAAGAAAATAATTTGGGGTTTATTAAAGAGAATCAAAGCTTTTGAAGAGGAGAAGGTTCGAGCAAAAAAAAGACTGATCCCTTTGACTGTTGTTGTTGTATTGTTGTTCGTTTTATGGAAACTGTAGGGCTGATGTCCGGCCGTGATCTTTAGGTGTTGTTGTTGATGTCTTTAGATGTTGGTGCATTCTTGTATTTTGATGTGGTTTGCAGATTAGTTTGGTTGTTTTAGGTATTGTTGCTGCTGCACTTTTGTAATCTTAGTATTGCTATGTAATGTTGTATTTTGAAAGTAATAAAGAGTTATTTTAGTTGTTGTTGATGCACTAAAGTTATTTTAGTTGTTATGGAGTTAGATAGAAATACTTGCTAATATTTCCACAAAGAAATGATCATTCTTTTAATAAGAACATAAAGATTACACAACATAATGGAACCATAATAGTTTAGTTCTTCAAAAACTAGATCCCAAAATATAATAGTTTGCTGCTACCTTAGAGTCAAGAATAGACCTTGACTATAGATAATTGATTGTTGCTACATAATCATATAGTCAAAAAATAAGTTCCTAAAATACTACTTCTTGCTCATATTTGCCTTCATCTGCTTCAATTGGGAAGTTGTGACAACATCATGACCCTTCCACCTCAAGCCTCTAGCCTTAAAACCAAGCTCTATTCCTGTTGGAGCTGCACTCTTATAAGTTGAACCACCTGATAGAATTATTTGGCTTGATGTTCCGGGCTGCAATTTGTCAAATAATGAAGTACAATTAGTAAGTTATTCCAAGTCATATTATAGATGAAATATGTATGAATATATACATTTAGTATTTGAGTTCCACTTGCAGTTGTGTAGATGCCAAATCTAACATTTTTAGACCTTTTTTCTCCTCCTTTTTCAGCAACTCCTTTACATGCACCCCTTCCTCTCTTTTGGATAGTAGTTCCTTTACCCTTTGGAGGAAGTTGACTAGCTAATCTTCTTCTAGCATGCTTGCACGAATCTGTAGAAATTGGTGGTGGTTGAATTGAGCTTCTAGCTTCATGAACCCTTCTAACTCTTGCAGTATCATCACAAATAGAGTTTGAGGTTGCAGTTTGGCTTGAGCTTCTTACTACAACAGGTTGGCTTCCTCCTTGTGATATTTGGCTACCTTGCTGTGAAGGCATCCAATTTTCAGCCTGTATATCATCATGAGCAACGAGTTTACACTATGATATTGATTCTTGAACAAAATATGTTTTACAGTAGCATAGAAAACTTCAAGGATGAAGAGCATGGAGGATAATAACAATTACCGGAATACTTTGTACGAGAACCAGTTATAAAGAGCAACAGAGTTAAATTCATCTTTCCTTACAATATCTTAAGTCCAATCTTTTGTCATTCATTTACTTTGACAATGACAAAGGTGCAAATGACATATACGTAATTGGAAAAAGGTGGCAAATTACAGAAATAATTTCTAGTTTGAAACAACAAAAAGGTGGCACCAATCTGTAGCAATTGTTAACAAAAATGCGGCACCAATTTACATTCATAAATAGTTAAAATGATACAAAATATTTTACCTTACAATATCTTTTGTTACGTCCTTGTTGATGACACTTAGAACATGTCATTTTCACTCTACACTTGGACAACATTTCATATTTCCTTTTTGGTTTATCTTTGCCTTTTCTTCTATTTCTCTGAGGTCTACAGGCACGGGTTTAGGTTTGGGAGGATCATTTTTTGGATTGTTGGTTTCATGCTACATCTTCATATTTGTCATAGGTTGGATGAAATACTTGTATGCTTTTAAGAAAGTACCCCTCTTATACCAATGCTCCACTGCATGTTCAGGTTCTTCATGTATATGATAGTATGCAAGAACAACATGTTGGCATGGAATACCTCTCAACTGCCAAGCTCTACAAGTGCATACCTTATCAGTCAGATTAACTACATGTTTATGTATTCCTTCTCCAATCTCAAAGCCAACATCAGCATTTCAAAGGACAGTACATTTTCTAGCAAGCTCTTTGCTATCCTCTAACAGAAGTCTAGCCATAGGTGATATATCAGATATTCAAGTATCAGCAAATTTTAACATATCCACCTGTCTAGTCATTATTTTTCTCATAATATCCTCCAACATAGTTATAATTGATTTATGCCTAGAAGCTAAAATCCATGAATTAAAGGTCTCACACATATTATTTTCAACAACATCACACTTGGAATTCACTTCAAAAAATTCTCCAATCCTACAAATATCCTAACCAAGTTTGTCCATTTTGTGAAGCTCCTCCTTAAACTTAACTTCATAACTAGCTTTAGAGCACCTCCAAAACTATTTTCTCCTTTCCTCTCCTTTCCGTATTTTATGCCAATTAGACCATATATGTCGGGCACACATTCTAAATTTAGCATTGGGTAAAATTTCTTTTAAAGCTGCAGCAAAACCCTACACAATAATTAATTTAATTAACTAATGCAATTTAAAAAATAAATACTAAACAAGACAGAGAAATATTGCCTTTTACATATCTGCCATCACAGTCAATCTTTTTCCAGTTCATAAGTGCAAATCATCTTTCAAGTAGTTGATGAAAAACTTCAGCTATGCTTTATCTCTTGGTCCACAACTACCAATGCTATATGAAATATTTGTTGATTTCCATTCTTTCCAACAACAACTAGAAACTCACCTTTACAAGCACCCTTTAAGAAACAACCATCAAAACATATGATTCTCCTACATCCTTCTAACCAACCTTTTTTCAATGCATCAAAGTACACATAAAAGTAAACAAAGAGATTTTCTCCTGGCTTAGTTTCATTGTCCATCCTTACCCAACATGAGCTACCAGGATTGGTTTGTTTTATCATATCAACATTATCACATAACCTTGCAAACTCCATATTCCAATCACCCATGGACTCTAGGAGAATACGCAGTTTAGCCCTATAACAAATTGTCTTGCCAACATACAATCCTAGTTTGTCCCTGCACAACTCCTGTATTTCACATATCCTTATGCGAGGCTGCTTAGTTATTTTATCTTTGAATTTCTTTGCAACATACTGATAAGTACACAACTTATTCTTGTTTGAAGTATCACATTTGTGTACTGGGTAGTAGTTCTTTACTTTAAAATTACTAGAATCTCTATCAATACAAGCATAGCATACCTACTTGCATCTCTTTGATTTACACTTAGCCCTCACCATATGTGGTTCATTTGATCTCAATTTAATCTGCACCTTGTACTCAATTGCATAATTTGCTAATGCTTTCCGAAACTCTATAGCATTCTCAAAAATTATCCCAAGTTCAAATATAGCAAGTTCACAATTAGGATCATACCTGACGTTTGTACTCCTCCTTCTTGCTGGTATATCAACACCAGGAATAGCTTCAGGATCTAACTCTTTTGTGCTATCTTCACTATCAGCCTCTGAACTAACAATAAACATGCTCATCCCCACCTAAATTACCTACATATCTGGAAGCCTTGTTTCTTCCAATATCTTCAATTCCTCTATCAATACCTGCTTCTCCTAGTGGTATTTCCTCTGTTGCGAATGGTTTTTTCCTCTACCTACCTTGCCTCTTGCTCCTTCTTTCAGCCCTTAAAAATCTCAATTCATCAACAACCTCTGAATCATCTTCTTTAGGAAGAACATCTGCTTGTGAGTCACTACTGTCAACATCTGATTGCACTCCATTTTCATCAATATTATGATCTGGTTCATCACCATTATGAGTTGGTTCAGCACCATTCAAATTTGATTGAGCATCATTGAGATCTAAGATGTTTTCTAACTCTTCCTTGGGTGGCTCAATAGGTTCTTCAGTATTTATATTACTCTTAGGTGTTGCCCTAACTTTAAATTGTTCATTACCACCCACGCCTACTTCTGTCCCACATAAAAGACCAACTAAGTTTTCGAGTACTTCAAACTGACTCACCACATGATGCAAATAAACATCCAAAATATCACCATGTTGTAAATCTTTCACAAATTTAAATAATTGAAAATCATATACGACTTGGATAAATGCACCATTTTTTTCTTTTGATGAAAAAACCCTTCGACAACTGTATACCCAAGGTCTTCAGCATAAGTGGACAACTCAACAAGACTGAAATGGTCTTTATCGATAGCAACAAAAAAGGCATCTAATTCCCCTTTGTATATTGGGACTGGTTATTCAATAAATGTACCCCATGGTGAAAACGAGTTAAAATATAGTCATACATAATATTCCCTTAGATAAAATGCCAAAGGACCATCACAAATAAAACCCCCAAAAATACCCTAGATTTATCAAAAACTTCAAAAAAGAAGCCCTAACTGCAGCAATAGAAAATAAATAAAGGAGAGATTGGACCTTTAAGCATTGAATACCATAAGAGATCAGTAGAGGACAGTAGATACCAACACCATTGACGGAAAGTAGAAGAAGTTTGTTAAGTAAATGTGGTTTCTTTGATTCCATCGATGGAAAAGGAACAGAGATAATTTTGTTTAGGTCTTTTGTTTATTTGTGTATTTGATTGGAAATCAGACTATATAGATGAAGTGGGCAATTAAATGATGTGGCACGAGTTTAATGGTTATTTATTCTACGTAGACGGAGATTGCAGACACTCGCTTGGTGAATTCATAAACCTGCATAAAACGTGTCTAATTGGTATATTATATGCCTACGAAATGTGCTCAGATGGAAAGAGGCCTAGTTTAAGTGTCTAAATGAAAAATAGTGCCAACTTTAGGTGTCTCCGTATGTATCACGCCTAGATTTTATCCATGTTTTTAGCAGATTTTGTAAATAAAATTTTCAATCACAAAACTAGTTCTAGACCTGTCTTTGGCCCAAAATATCACCGTTTGATCTTTTAACAATTTTAAAAATTACCTCAAACTTTTGTATTTTATTAAAAAAAAAAACACAATCTATTATGACCCAACTAACCACCGGCTAATTACTATCATTTTCTTTTGTACTGCTGAATCTTGTAATATTATTGCAATTTGACGAATTATAGTGGCTACTGACTAGTAATTATGTTATTAGCAGTTGATATTAAAATATCATGTTATTATTTTAGGATAGTGCATTATGTAGTTCATTATAAAAATGATAATTTTATGTCAAATTTATATATGTTCGGACTATGATTTGTGATAATGATAATGAATGGCGTCGATGAAGGTTCTATATATACATGATTAACAAGTTTGTTTGTTGGCAAAATACATAAGTTACCCCCTAAACTATAGACCAAATCCTTATTATACACTTTATGCGGACAAAAATCGCATTACACATTCAATATTTTCAAAGTGTATCTAATACACACTACTTTGCCCATGTGGACAGTGCGTGTTTTTCCCAATGAATGAGTCGCGTGAAGAGAAGAATTTTGTGTCAGATGTCAAATTTTTTTAGTTTTTTAAAATTTTAAATTGAGTCATCTTCTTCCTTTTAAAAAATTCTGCCATGGCTACTTCTTGATCTCCACCACCCGATCTCCTTCTTCTCAAATAGACATACCACAATTTCTCATATCTCTTCTCATTGATTAGTTTTTAGTTTTTTGTTTCCATATCTTTTGGCGAGAAATTTAGATTAGATTCAACAGTTAAAGTTTTTTGTAGCCCC